GGGGCAAATTGCTTCTCTCTTCAACACTTGGCCATTAGCTTTAACCTGAACACAGCAGGCTGGGAATGTGGTGTTCCCTTTGATCAGTAAAGAAATTGTCATTTAATTTTTGTTTGTGGCAGGACTGGGATTATTTAGCTTGAAAAAGAGAGAACTGGGGGGGGGTCTGGTAACTGTCTTCAAATACCTAAAGGGTGCCTATAAGGAGGATGGTGGTAGCCCAGTGGTTCTCAACATCGTTAAATCTGAGACACTTGTCTTTACACTCAGGACACCCTTGGAAAATGCCAGGTCTTCATTTTCACTTGTTTTTGACTGGAGAAAAATACTAGAGCAATTCCTCTGTTGCAAAGAGCTCAGAAAGGCCTCGACGGGGCAGATCCTTTTAAAACAATGAAATTCCATGCAAAAATCTAGAGCTCTTGGTTCAGAAATGATACCTTGCATTAGACTAACTAGGAAATTGCAAAAACATTCTCTTTTTCTGCAATCAGGACTCATAGTATACTCTTTTTCTGCAAGCTTTTGGGCTCAAACGCCCTTCATCAGGCTCTGGGAAAATTAAAGACAGTAAAAAGTTCCCATATTTGAACTGTCTGCGTTTATCTTGTGAATTGTGTTTGCACCCCTCGCAGTGCTAACTTTATGTGGCATCCCACGGCAGCCTTGAAAGGTTATCAAGGTACCCCGGGATACTGCTGCACCCTGGTAGAGAATCACTGTGGTAGACTATTCTCTGGGGATGCAGGGGACCAGACAAAGGATAATGATTTTGAACTGCAGCAAAGGAAATGTAGGTTGGAGATTAGAAAGAACTTTCTCACTACAAGGGTGCTTACGCATTGCAACAGGCTACCTAGAAAGGTGGTGAAATCTCCGTCCTTAATTTTTTTTTAAGTGCAGGTTAGACACTTCTCTGGGATAGTTTAGTCTGGGGAGATCCTGCCCTGAGCAGGGGTCCAGGCTGGATGGCCTCTTCCCTTCCAGCTCCATTTTTCTACGAATGTGGTTTCTTGATTGGAATGGACCTGCTTTACATTTTTGTCTCCGATAAAGTGGAAAAAAGACCAGTCAAGACACTTATGGTTATTCAAGATGCCACGGCATTTTTTCTCAAGAATGTGGATGCCATTCTCCATGTCAGTTAAATGCCAGCTTGAAAATTGATACCTTTTATTAGACCAACAGAATTTGCAAAACAAATAATTTTTTAATGATATTTTTGTGTTTGGTCTACTTGGACAAGCTGCTTTTCAAGTCAGGAGTGAAGCACTATATCTGACCTGAAGACATACAAAAAACTAGAACTCCTGGTTCCAAAATGATACCTGGGAAATCGCAAGAAAATTGTCCTTTTCTGCAAGCTTTCGGGATCAAAGTCTGGAGGTTTCTGTTCTCTCTGATGAAAGAGGCGACCTCCCAGTAAAGCTGACCTTAAAACCAAATGCAACTCTATGTCTCAGAGTTTTTATTGCCATTACAAGGCGGCTTTACCACTGACTTCCATATGGGGAACATTTGATGGGGAAATGTAGGAACTGTGCAGACCTGCTGGAAAACATCGCTACTGGATGCAGGTGGAGAGTTTGTGCTTGAAACAAATAAATCTTGCTAAATAATCATACAAGCAACTGTTAGTACTCTGCATTATGCATGCAACCTGCTGTGCTTGGGGAAGGAAGCACCTCCCTACCATCCTCTCTTGAGCAATGAGGCCAGACCCTACAACTCCTGACCTCCCTTTCTACCAGCCGCTCCAACAACCATCTTTCCTTATCAGAACCGGGAAACAAGACCCTGCCTTTCTAAGGATCTGCTGATAACGGCCCCATCATTGTCTGAGTGCCTCCCCACCCTTCAAAATCAGAAGAAAAAAAACATTTTCTGTCATTGGGAGAGCCTGATCGATTTACAAGGCACTCAGGAGAGATGATATCTTTCATGAGCCCAACAAGAGTTTTGCAAAAAACATTTCTTGAATTGCAAGCTTTCAGGGGGCACAAACGCCCTTCCTCAGGCATGGGAGAAAAGATTGTAAAAGCTCTCCTAGGTAGAAATGAAAGTCCATAATTCACAGGGTTTCACAGAAGAGTCAAAAAAGCTACTCCCACCAGGTGGGAGTCTACTATAGACCCCCTACCCAAGCAGAGGAGCTTGACCAGGAATTCTTGGGTCAGCTCACCGAGGTAGCAAAAGCTAAGGATGTGGTAGTCATGGGGGACCTGAATTTCCCAGACATCTGCTGGGATGAGCAGTCGGCCAGGTCCGAGCGTGCACGCAGGTTCCTGGAGAGAGTCCAGGACCTTCATCTAACCCAGGAGGTGCACAGCCCCACCAGGGGGGATGCCTTGTTGGACTTGGTGTTGGCCATGGGCGACGACCTGGTGAGGGGGCTGCGGGTGCTTGACCCCCTGGGCCACAGTGACCACTGCCTGCTAGAATTCACCATTCAACGCAAGGTGGCAAAGGCAAGCAGTCAGGTGGTGGCCCTAGATTTTAGAGCTAAGGAGGATAGTTGGAGAAGCGCTGAAGACTCAGAGGGGAGGGGAGCCGGGTGTCCAAGGGGAGTGGTCGCTCCTTAAGGAGACAATCCTCCAAGCCCAGAGGAAGGTAATCCCCAGGAGGGTCAAAGGGGGCAGGAGAGCATATAAG